TACAGCTAGCTCAATATTATCTTCTCTTGATTAGTTGTATCTTTCAGGGTAGAAGATTTTTCAGTCCTATCCGAACATGAACTGAATCTGAGATCTTTTGCATGCAACTGTATCCTATTTAAAGAAAATTTATGGTCCAGAGTGTATAATTAAGATGTTTGGATGCTTCCTTTTTCTGAATTGTGTTTTTACAAATTGCACAAACATGGGTATTTTGCCTTTGCAGCAGTAGGGATTCTTTTTCTTTATTTACTAGACAATAAACCATAATGATACAAAATGCCAGGAAATCAGTCACCATCACAACATTGTCACTGGTTGTGCACATGAACAAGAGAAATAAATTCCCCATCCTGCTGTAAGTCAAATGGGCATCTAATTCATCAGTACATCTATTATGGATCAAAATCTTTTATTCTGAAACCAGCTATATTTGTAAAAAAAAAAAATGAATTTCAGTAGTAGTTGTGAATTGTAATTCACTCATAATACAGTTACTCTTTAAATAAGGACGTAGATTTGGTTTTGTCAGATACTGTGCTCTACCGGGAATGTATTTTATAAGAGTTATTTCTCCTTAAAAAGTACTTCTTGTTCAGGTCATTTTTTGTTATCAGAATCCTTATTAGAGATAAAAATGTTCCTGTAAGAAAGGCATTCATCTTTTGTTGATTTGCTATAGCTTTAGTAAATGCTAGGTTTGTATTACAAAATAGTCGTTTTATGTATGCCAAAAAACCAGAAGTCTTGTAGCAGCTTTTCCAACTAGCAAATTTTATTAAAAGGCCTAATTTTCATTAGCTGCAGGTTATATGTGAGGCAGACTCAACTAACAATTGTAATGTATTAAAAACTCATTATGTTTGTTGAGACATGTTGAGATAATCTGAAACACTTTGATGAATACAAATTCAGCCGTCTTCCGCTTAATCATTTTGTTAAAGTCTCATTTTTCCAAAACGGTCACTTTGAGATCTTCAGTAGTATGTTCTAGGAAGCTGAAATATTCTGATATAACTTTGCCCTTGTTTTGAGCCCATTCATTCTTCATGCAAAGTTTTTCCCATTGATCCTATGTAGAATCTGGAAGCACATAGTTATGCATGGCAATTGGTAGGTTACCTGTAAAAAGTGATGTCTATGTCTCCATTGTGTAGTTTTACCATGACACCAAAGGGGGAATTAACTACACTTGCTTTTGCATGGGAAACACAGAACTGGTTTAATGTTAACTGTCCAGAAACTCCTGGGACATTATTTTACCAAGAGTATAAAACTTTTACTCAATAAACCACATTGGCACAGGAGAAGCGAAACCAGCTCTGGGATTCCTGCACAAAAGCAAGCATAGTTGATTCTCCCTTTTTCCCCATATGGGCCACTCACAGTCCAAAACATCCACCAATCTTTTCAGTTCATTTTGTTATGGGAGACAACCAGCCTGACTACCTGTGTGGTTGTTGTGATTCTTGCCTTGCTGTGGACTGACACCATGCCTTGAATTGGATCATGTCTTGTGAACTTTGAACTTTTCTTGCCTCGTGACTCCTCTTGTATTGTGAATTTAATTTTACCAGGTAGGTTTTGATTGGGAAACTTTCAAGTGCCTTGTGGACTCTTTGGCCATTGCTCTGAGGACTAGTATTGGTCTGCTTGTGGCTGGACTTAATTGGGACAGTTTGGTGATGGGAATATTAACCCACTAAACTCTGTGTGTGTGTGTGTGTGTGTGTGTGTGTGACAGAGAGAGAGAGAGAGAGAGAGAGAGAGAGAGAGAGAGAGAGAGAGAGAGAGAGAGAGAGAGAGAGAGAGAGAGAGAGAGAGAGAACAACAAAAGAGCAATGTCATTGTCCAGTATGAAACGCATTTGACCAGTTTGGGCAGGTGCTGCAGATAACCAGTGGTATTCTGTGTTCTGCCTTTGAATAGGTCTTTTCTGGAATCATTCTGCCTCTACTAATTTGTCTATTGATCTCATGGAGTGAGTAGTTCAGTCTCCTAAATATCCAGTTTAATTCTAGTACTTGAGCATTTCTGCCTAACAGGTCAAAATAAATGTAGTTGTAGCATAGAGCCTAGCTTGTAGACGATAGATTTGGTAGAGTGTTCTGGATGGAATCTAGAATCATATGCAGGTATACTGTACGTGACAATTGGTAGGTTACCTGTAAAAAGTGATGTTTATATCTCCATTGTGTATAGCAAACATCAAGGTAGCAGACCTAAAGATGTTGACATATTATGGAGGTATGATATATCCATGGGTATACCAGTGATTTGTAGGCATTTGTCATTGCCAAAAGTGAAATATTTATGGGTGAGACATGCAGTCTGGTTGCAAGATGTGCTCTGTAGGGATCAGCAATCATATTCTTGATGGTTCCTTTATACAGGGTCGCAATATCCATATTGGATACAATTGAGTTATTAGGGAGACTGGAGTTCAATTTTCTTACGAAGTCTATAGTGCCTTTTGTGTAGCTGGGGAAATGTTTTCTAAGCATCAAGATCTTCTCCATTGACTTTTCTCCAAACATTTAAGTTTTAGCTTTGTTATTAAAGACCAGCCTTTCTTTCTATCGTGTGCTCTCACAATGTCTGTTTTGCGACTCCAGTCATCCTTACCCAGTTGCTACAACTGATGTCAAATCTCTCTGCATGCAATACAGAGCAGCAGATGGCTCAGTGAAGATCTTGACACAATTTTAAACTATCATTTTAGCTTAAAGCACGATAGCTTTTAAGCTATCATTTGCTTGAAAGGCAGAGAAAGAACACTCTTGGCCTTGAATTCAGCAATTTCAAAATTGGGAAGGGAGGAATTCCATAATTTTGCTTACACTGAAATCATCTGACATTTGGGGAAGTATGGATTACTTAGTATGGACTCAGCTCCAATTCTTAATCCCTTCTCAGGGATAATTATTGAATGAAAGTGCTGAAGAATCCTGAGGCTGTTTTTTTTCCTTTTGGCTGTTGCTTTTGTTACCTATTCTAGATGTTATTCAGAGGTGGGATTCTACCAGTTCGCACCTATTCTCTAGAACTGGTTGTTAACATTCTAAGCAGTTTGGAGAACCAGTTGTTAGAAGAAATTACTGGCCTAATCCTGTAAGGAAGGCAGGAAGGAAACGTTCTGGTGTTGCTTACAGAAACTGCCTCTCCGTTAACCCTTATTACATTCTTGGCAGGACTAGACTTCCTGTCTCAGGAACTTCTCTGGAGTTTTTTTCCCCTCCTTTGCTGGTACTTTGCTTGTGTGGAGTGACCATTCAAAGTTACAATGGCACTGAAAAAAATGACTTATGACCATTTTTCACACTTACGACTGTTGCAGCATCCCCAGTCACGAGAGGCCAGGCAAGGAGATGCGTGCCTCGATGTGAGTGATATTGAGTTGGCCATGCCCAGCCAATAACATGACCATCAAGCCACGCCCACCACCTAAGCCAGGCTCACAGAACCGGTTGTTAAAAATTTGAATCCCACCCCTGATATTATTCCTGAATGTCTCCCTTTGAGATACAGTATTTCATTTCTTTCAGTGTAGAATAAACATTCTTCCAGTAGAAGAGAATAGCTCAAGGTTGAATTTGATGCTCTCTGAGCTTGGTCATTGCCCAACTAGATAACATCAGTTAGTTGGGTAATGAAGCATTTGCAAACAATCAGAGAGCACCAAATTCTCCAAAAAAATATTATTGTCCAAAGGCTGACAAACTTTGCTGAGATGCTTTCTTCAAGCATATATCAATAGTCAACTTTATTGTGCTTCACCAAACAACTGTGAGATTAGCAAATAACTCTGGCCACATCTTTTTTTTTTTACAAATAATTTTTATTTCTAATTCCATAAAGGAATCTTCACTGTCATCATGTATATATATATAGAGAGAGAACTTCTTCCTTTTTTGCCTCTTTATTTAATCATCTGCCTATTTGGGAAAGAAGCCTGGAAAATAAACAAGCAAAAGACAAGAGAGGAAAGGAAAGGATACACACTCTCTATCCGTTCATTGTTTTTCTGTCTTCCTTGAATATAAAGATTAATCTTCACTTTAGTCTTGTAATTATTACAAGACTGGTAAAAGCATGTAGAAGACAGACTCAAAAAACCCCAAACATCGCACTCCCAATACAGACAATAGCCATGATTTGTATTTTTAGAATGCCTTCAAGGCAACGTACAATGACAAAAATTACAATGCTTATGTATTTTGTTACTTACATACAATCTGGGAGGATATTAACAATATAATGAAATGAGATTTCACAGTGTTGAGTTGTAGTTTTGAATTTAGTTTTGAATAGTTTGAATTGTAAGTCGCCCAGAGTCGTTGATTGAGGTGGGTGGCTAGAGCAGTCGAATAAACAAATAAATACATCCCAGAAAATGGGGGGGGGGAATCATTTTTGAAATCTCAGTGGAACGATACTACTTTGAGTTATCCCATGTTTTTAGAATCCAAAAGGAAATAACTGAATGTTTGATGCCATAGACCAGGGTGAGGGCTCTTTACTCTTAGTTTCTCTTGGGTTAAAAGTTGAGTTCTTACCTACCTAGTTAAGCTCTCATTGTGTGGAATGCTCTGCTTCCCTCTCATCCTTCCCCAAAATAGCCCCAATGTAGGGAATGGGATTAATTTTATGGCATGGATGTGAGAACCCTAATCTGCCTTTGAAAATCCTTCCCCCAAATTTAATCACACATACAAAGCAGCCCTTTCCTTCATGTGGGGGCGGGGGAAATTAAATAACTGCCATATACTAATGACCTATGTAGTAATTGCTGATTGCAACATGTTCTTTTTGTTTGTTTGGTGACAATAGAAGTGGCTTATTAAGAAATATTGCATTGTCCCCATCTCCAGGGATTTGCAGTTGCTGAAGCAATTAGAAGCCTTCCTGAAAAGCTCCCATAGATCCCGTCAACCAATGGAAGTGTATTTGAACTGTAAACAGAAGCTGAGGTTACCATGGTATACTCTTCTGCCAACCAGCAATTGATATTCTTGGCGAATAGCGTGTCTGGGGAAACACACTGTTCCCTGACTCCTTGGAGCAAAGTAACTTTCCTTCCATCTGACTTTTCCAAGTTCTTTTTCCAAGCCGAAGGATTTGGATCCCCAAATTCACTCGAGGAGGTATGTTCAACAATTGGTTTCCATACTTTATTTAGTGACTATTGGTATTGAGATTTTTTTATATTTGCTCAAAATGCCCAACAAGAATTTTGCTCAAAATGCCCTACAAGATGTTCTCACAGGATATAAGGCAGAGTGGCAAACCTCTTCAGGTGTACCTAAATTTCTCAGGTGTATTTGATTACAAATTGAAGCCTGGAATTCGGCAGTCATAGGCCCAGACTGTGCAATCTCAGAACCGCAACTTGGCTTGATGCTTGCAGTAGAAAAACTGTCAAAAATAAAGAACAATGCAGGCCAGTAGGAAAGCTCTAAGAATGAATTTGTCAGATTTTTGTGGTGGTATAATAACTGCTGTTTTTTAGAATCTTTATATGATAGGCTTCTGCTATTAACTCTGGATTCTGTTCAGTTTGAAACTAATTATTGCACTGCTTATTATTTGGGTTTGTATTCTGAAAGGCAACCTAAAAGGATTATTAAATACATGGTTGTTCAGATAACTCTGAACTTTAGAAATGGAATTTATAGGATATTTTATAGTCAGCTATTCTTAGAAATTACCAGGCAGGATATGGAGATTCTCTGACTCAGTAGCTCGATGCCATAGTGTGTGGGCATGCCACGACTCCTGTGTGATGGACATTCTGAAGAACAATGATGTTCAAGAAAAATAGAAAGGTAAGACATGTCCATGGGATATCAGAAACAGGATCCCACTCCTATGAAGAGGCACAAAAACTACATATTTCCATGAAGGATTTGACTGCACATGCATGCAGTATACTTACAAAGTGATATAATATCATGCTGAATTCAAGCTCTTTTAAAATGAATTCTACATTGTAATTTAGGCCTTCCATAAACTAGTTCCTGTTAGATATGTAAGGCCCCCATTGTACTTGACATAGTAGCTAAATCTATGATGGTTGGATATTAGTTTGTTCGTTCATTTCCCACCTTTATTATTTTTACAAATAACTCAAAATGGTGAACACGCTTTTCTTCAACTATTTTCCCCACAACTGTGAAGTCAGTTCAGGTGAGAGAGAGAGTAGTAACTGGCCCAAAGTCACCCAGCTGGCTTTTATGACTAAGGTAGGACTTGAACTCACAGGCCCTGGCTTTCCACAGCCTGGTGCCTTAATCATTAAAACCAAACTGGCTGATGGGAATTGTAGTCTTTCAAGGTCATGCTCTGTTGGAAAAAGTTAATAGCTTTGCTAGGGAGGTGTCTTTATTTCAATTTGGAAGGGACTTAATAGGATCATTCTTAAAGATGTCAGATAAATACAGGTAGTCCTCGACTTATGACCACAACTGAGCCCAAATTTTTTATTGCTAAGGGAGACATTTGTTAAGAGAATTTTGCCCATTTTATGAGTTTTTTTGCCTCTGATGTTAGGTGAATCACTGCACTTGTTAAATTAGAAACACGGTTGTTAAGTGAATCTGGTTTCCCCATGGAGTTTGCTTGTCAGAAGGTTGCAAAAGGTGATCCTGGGATACTACAATTGTCATTAATGCGAGTCAATTGCCAAGCATCTGAATATTGATCACGTGACCACGGGGAAGTTGTAATGGTTGTATGAAAAAACAGTTGTAAATCAATGATAATGTAACTTTGGACGGTCACTAAATGAACTGTTGTAAGTTGAGGACTACCTGTAGATATAATGGATAAAACAATATAGAAGTCAATCTCCATTTTTTATTTAGTAAAGTAGCATTAAATAAAACATAGAGGCAATAAATTTGGACATTTATCTATTTATCAACAGTTGTTCTATATTAACATTGATACAGGTAATCCTCGACTTACAACCTTGCCATTGAATCCAAAATTTCTGTTGTTAAGTGAGTTTTGCCCCATTTTACAACCTTTCATACCACAATGGTTATGTGGATCTCTGCAACTGATAAGTTAGTAAGCTGGTTGTTAATTGAATCTGGCTTCCCCATTGAGTTTGCTTGTCAGAAGGTTGCAAAAGGTGACCACATGACCACCACCACCCCAGACACTATAAATATGAGTCAGTTGCCAAACTTCTGAATTTTGATCATGTGACTGCAACGGTCAGAAATGTGGGGATACTACAATGGTCATAAGTGTGAAAAACGGTCATAAATCACTTTTTCAGTGCCCTTGTACGTTTTAAACAATCTGTTGTAAGTCAAGGACTACCCGTAGTTACAGAGCATCCCAAAGCAATTTACAAATTCTAAAAACCTTTTAAAATAAACAAGGTAAAAGCAGCGTATTAAAAGATAGTCAATGTATCAAAAGTTAATGTTCTGAAAAATTTGAAAAACTGATTTATTCCCTCTGGTGCTGGGATAAGATATTAAGGGGAATTCTGCTGTAGGGTTGTATAATGTCTATTTCTTTGAGAACCTCAGCTCCATTGTTTAACCTTGGCTCCATTGTGGTTTTTATTGTGATTGCTATATCGTATGGTACTCGATGAAGTGTTAACTTGTTAAGTGTTCAGAAACAAGAGTGAGACTGGAGAAAATCAACACAGAATGGTGGCGTTACAAAAGGCTTGTAACCAGGGGTGGGATTCAAATTTTTAACAACCGGTTCTGTGGGCATGGCTAGGTGGGTGTGGCTAGCTGGGCATGACCATGTGAATGGGTAGGTGTGGCTTCTTCCTTTTTTTTTTTGCAGCACACCCCTTTTTTTGCCTCGTGGGACTCAGAGAAGCCTGGGGGTGGCATTTTTGTTCCCGGAAGGCTTCCTTAGGGCCCAAGAAGGCAAAAAACAGAGTGCAGAGGGGCATGCAGTACCCCCGTACCCCTCTGTGGGCCCCTTTTTGCCTCCTGGGCCTCAGGGAATCCTCCTGGGTGAAGCAGTAAGAAAGCGAGGGGGATCCCGGCACAGCTGATCATTGGAACAGCTGATCAGGAGGGGGAAAAAATACCTTTAGGAGTGACTGGGTGGGGGACAATGCAGTCAGTGATGTTGAGCCTGCGTGCGATGTGGCGCATGCGCTATAAGGACTTACTGGGCGGGGAGGGAGGGGCAGGCGGAGAGGGATGAAGCCAGCCAGGGGCACGATTTGCCGGTTCTCCGAACTGTGCAAAATCATAACAACCAGTTTATAGAACCAGTCCAAACCGATAGAATCCCACCCCTGCTTGCAGCTCTGTGATGTTATATGGGAAAGACACTGGGAAATTGGGTGAAGAGACAGTGCCAAGGGACCAGTCAGATAAGTTACAGCATGGCACACAACTGCACAATGGGATGAGCAAGAATCTCAGAAGTGACCTTTCCTAGTTTCTCAGACTGTAAAGGAGATTTGGGGGGTGGGGGGATTGTACTTTGAGACTTGCAAGATTCTGTCAATGTAGTTTTACAATGAATTAGAATTACTTCATCTGATGATGATTCCCGTCTGGTTTATCCCGCAAGTCTGACAAAACCACATCAACATGGGCACGGGGCTTACTAGCCTGCAGGAAGGCTATTCTAGGTGTCTTCATGTGGAAAGTCCCCCCTTGTCATTGCCACAAAGCAACCCATGGCATGAAGAACAGGGTCTCCTCTGAAAAGTGAAAGTGCCTAAGAAACAGATATAATCCAAGATGTTATTCCACATATGTCGATCCTGAGTTAGTGAAGGATTTACTTATGCCGACAGTTATGTTATTTGCTAGTAAGAGATCTGTTAACACTGGTATAACATGTGGGCATTTTAGCTCCCACCACCACTCCCCTGGAGTAGCATAAAAACAGAGAATTCAGTACTTAGTTGTAGCTTCCAGACCAGACTCAAAACCATCATCATTGGGTTATAGTGTGAAATAGCTTTAAATAATTTTGCCAACATTTTGTATGAATGTAAAGTTAGCATTATACAGTAGAGACCTTTTTGTAAAAGACACTGAGAAATTCATTCAGAAGTCAGCATGGAATGCTTTGTCCTACACCACCCTCTTTTGGCCAAGATCTGTTTTGCAATTTGGGACTGTTTACAATAAGAAGAAAGTTTTATCTACATGAGTGTTGTAAAAGAGGCTTTTGGAAAAATCTCACGTGATTTTTCCCTTCAGAAACAATTTTCAAGTTCTATATGAAAACGTCTCTCAATGCCTACATGTTGGAAAAGATTTTGTGAGGCTGTGCTCTGGCAAATGCAGCTGCTTTATCTGTCCTAGTCTCCATGTTTCAGACACCCACTTCCTCCAAACTCCAGGAAACAATTGGACAGTGTATTTTGGAGAAATAAAAAAACTTCCTTTTTACAATCCTGTAATGCCTTAATTTGGGGTAGTCGGGTCCTCTGGATGGAGCTGAGTGTTTACTGGCCGGATGCCCTTTCTGATGCCACGTGGAGTTCACGGCAAATATTTTTTTCTTTACACCCTAGGAGAGAAACATCTTGTCACTATCTAGGATTAAATACTCAACCTTCTGAGTGGGAGGTGAGAGTCTTCACCACTAGGCCACCGTGTCACTCAAATTGGACAATGTGTTTTGGGGAAATTTAAATAATTCTAAATATCTGTTATCTAAGACTGAAATATGGATTTCCTTGCATCTATGGGGTAGTGTTTTTTCAATCTTGGAAACTTTAATTCAATACTAGGAGTTGAAGTCCATGCAGCTTGAAATTGCCAAAACATGGAGGAGGAGGAGGAGGAGGAGGAGGAGGAGGAGGAGGAGGAGAGGGAGGGAGGGAGGGAGGGAGGGAGGAGGAGGAGAAGGAGAAGGAGAAGGAGAAGGAGGAGGAGGAGATGATTCATAGCAACTTAAAAATTTAGCTCCAGCAGTTGTCTTTATGGAGCACACACCTTCTGTCCATGATGAATATTCATAGCAAGGAGTCTGGTTTCCAATGGAGACAGTAAACACACACAGTACTAATCCAGGCTCCCTGTGTCTTTTCTTTCAGCTCTGCAGGAAAAGCTCAGCAATTCAAGGGGGGGGGGGGAGAGAAATCTTTTTAGAAAAGGGTAAAATCCCTTTACCAGTCATTGTTATTATGTGATCAGAAAGCTTTATGATGCAGTGTGGATCTTGGAAACAACAAAGAAATATTACTTTTATTTCCAGAACATATATATATATATACAGATAGCCAGTCACTATTTCATAGCCCCTGAGGTTTTTTTTTTAATTCACTGAAACTTCTTTCAAGTCCCTGTCAATGTGAACTGTCCAAAAATAGATTGCTGAGTCCTCTCACAAGTATGATCTGAAACCGCTCAGGAAACTTCAGAATTAATCATGCATTTCCCTTGCTTATTTAACATGTATGTCAAAACATTGCCTGAGAACTTGCTGAATTGGTGAGCGTACTGCCTTCTGGCTAACACTCTCCCGCACTTTTTTTTTTCCTGGGATGATCCGATTTGAAGTATTATAAACACAGTTTATACCATGGGAAGCCAAACAAACGGAGCCAGAAGCACCCCATCAATGGGGTATCTGTTACCAGCAACCAGCTCTGCTGGAAATCTAGCCTCATATTCTTCGCTTTCATTGAGCAGCAGGGCTGGAAGAAGCCCACTTGTTACCTCAGGGAAGGCCTCAAGCAAAATCCGCTGGGAAGAGCATGAAGCTCTCAAGAGGGACCAGGTCCAACAAGACAAGATCTGGAGAGAGGCTGTGGAGGCTGAGAGGAAGGCAACCAAATACTGGTGAGTAACTCGGGAGTGTGTCTGTCTTAAAAGCTTTGATATGACTGTTCAAGTTTGATTGCGCATGCGCTGACCTGAGTAATGCTGGACCTGCCTGTGACTTTTATAGAATAAAAGCCATGTAAATTTAGAAAAAGAAAAAAAAAGTTTTAAAAAATGATAGATAAAAAGAGAGGAGATAGAAAAAGAAGAGATAGAAAGAGAAGAGATAGGGGAGACATGATAGCAGTCTTTCAATATTTGAGGGGCTGCCACGGAGAGGAAGGGGTCAAGCTATTTTCTAAAGCACCTGTAGGCCAGACAAGGAATAATGGATGGAAACTGAACAAGGAGAGATTTAACCTGGAAATAAGGAGAAACTTTCTGACAGTGAGAACAATTAACCAATGGAACAGCTTGCCCTCGGAAGTTGTGGGAGCGCCATCAGTTGAGACTTTCAAGGAGAGATTGGTCTCCCATCTGTCAGAAATGGTGTAGAGTATTCTGCTTGGGCGAGGGGTTGGACTAGATGATCCATAAGGTCCCTTCCAACTCTGATTATCTGTTATTATTTGTTATCTTAATAGAAAATGGGAGGGGGGGTGGCATTAGTTATACAATGAAACAAAATGTTAAACAGTTATGATATTTATGTAGTTACTTACCAAGCACATCTAAATTATATTAAAGTAACCAAAATATCTTTACAATCCCCAAGGCATGTCACAACTTCTGAGCAACCCTAAGTTTTGGAAATTGAAAGTTGAAACATTTGACACGCCTGAGACAGGTAGCTCTAACACTGTGCATTTCTTTTAGGCCTTCAGATATTCACTTAAATTTTTGTTTGTTTGGTACAATTATACTCACAATCATGAAAGATATTATCTTTTTACATTGAAGGTATCAGAACTGGAGTTTCCTAAAGGACTACGATTCCCTGGTAAGTTAAAATCCAAACATGCATGTTAAAAATATATTGACATGTTTGAAACAGATTCCCCCCCCCCCATATTTTCATATCATATATTCATCCTGAATTAACATAGTCATAGTTCAAAATGGTCAAGGATGAACAGGTGATGATGCTTTACACTTGGTGGGTTCATATATCATGTTAGACAATGGCTTGCTTTTATCCTGGAGCAGATAAAATCAAGCTGGAATAGCTTGACTCACAAAAGCAGTTTATGCTCTTATCCGGTGAAGGCTCCGCACAAAATGTGGAGGGTTCCCTTGCCCTTCTCTGTATTGGGAAAGATGTAAAGAAAATCTCCCCAAATACTGTTCATGAGATATCTCAAGTTCTCCTTCAAACGTAGTCTTCGGTGAATAAAAAAAAGTTTCCACTGTTTCTATTTTCAATGGCTTTATCACTACAATTCATTATCTTCTAAAGGTAGGGAAAAATGAGGAGGGATGCCAATTGATCAATGATCAACTTTATTGTCCTTCTGCAGCCCCTTCTCCTTTTTCATTTAAGCCTGCCTAGGATTTGGGCAGGGGCATTCTCAGAGAGTTAAAAAAAACAAAAGAGCTCAAGATGGTAGCCATTACCAGGACAAGGAAGCTCCGCCCCTCTTAAGGTTGCCATGACATATTTTTAATGGGCTTTGATCATCATCTTCACTTTTTTTTAATCATCTCTGGGATTAGAAAAAAACCCAGACTGAAAAGCCCTTACTTTTTCTGAACAAGAATAAACAAGATAATTTATTAGCTCTGGAGATGGAAGGGAAAAGCACACACACTCCAGTTAATATCTCAGTCAATTTACACCAGGAAAAGTGGAAACAAAACCGGAGGATTTACAAAACTGAAGAAAGTTGGAGAGGCAAGGAAAATATTTCCCTGGAGACTGAGGGAATGAAATCACCAACTTTGGCTTCAAAGAGAGGAAAAAGGGCTATTAATTATGGTAATGTTCCTGATGTTTGAATGATGCTGCAAACATGGCATTTTTCTAAAGAAAATCAGGCCATTTGTAGCTTAGAAAGAAATTGGTAGGGGTGGAGAGAACAGGATGATCTCAGCAAGATGTTGGGGATAACTGGAAGGTGTTTTGGAATTGGGTTGTTCTGATCACACAGGAAACCTACACTGGGAGAGGCTCTTGGAATCTTAAAACAGTTCTACAAAGTTAGAATGGTTCAGCTTTGAAATCAAGGATATATCCTCTAGTCACTGCCAATGATTTCTTGTCATCCTTTTTGGTTTCTACACATTAAGCCTAGTTTTATGGGAACACTTTACATCTCGGATCAATATCTCATTAGATTTTCTGTTGGGTTAAGAGATTGTCTGTGCTTCTATCCATGGGCAAGACAAGACTTCCTTTCCCCCCCTCTTATTTCTGAAATTGTCACAAGATCTGAAAGCTGCCCATTATTACTCAGGGTAGAAGCAAAGCAGGGTTTCTTTTTTTCCTCTGTCTCTCATCTCTAAAAACTAGCATCTACACACCCTCAGATGTGAATTCAATGTTTCTCAGCCAGTCATTCTGATTCTGACCAAATGACCTGTGCTTTAAGACAGGAATAAATAACCATGCATTAATAATAGTTCAAAAGTATTTTGGACTATGAAAATTTAAATGTTTTAGGATGATGTTATACAGATGACTAAATAAAAAATATTGTATTAGAGTTGAGTGAACTGTGTTTTAAAACATTGCTAAATGTCCTTTAAAAAGCATGTACATTATTGTATTATTTTTATTGCAGTGATTATCTTGTATTGCAAAGTTTTTTAATTAACCGGATTAGCAGTTTGCTTTCAGCCACAGAATACAAGATAAAATTGACTTCAGGTCATTATCATAAAATACAGGCAGACACAAAAACCATTAAAGGAAGGTAATTTCCAGAATGATTGTAACAAATGTATGAAAGCCAGAACTATCTGTGTGTTTTTGTTATGATAGCCAAATCCTGCAGTTATCAGAACTTTGGTCTGTTTCAGTAGAATACTTGTAATGTTATTGTGTTTATTCTTGAAATCTTTCCTAATTCCCAATGAATTGATTATGTGCAAAATGGCAATAGAAGCATTTCTTATTAAACTTTTATTCACATAAATAACTGAATTATATTTTTCAGGGTAAGAAAAAAGTATCTGCCCAACTCCCTGAATATATATCAATATTTTCAGACAAAATTCCCAATACCACCAACCACGTTATTGGCAGCAGAATGAACACTGATCTTGGTAAAACACTGATAAAAATGGACTATTTCCTCAATTATGGAAAAAGAAAAACCAAAACCGAGCAAGAACTCCAGCCTTCCTAGAACTAAATAGAAATCTTGCTGTTAAAAAAATGCTTATCTATACTTTTTTAAAATAGGATTAATGTCAAAAACTTTTGTGCATTTACCCTTCCAGACTTAATTCTTCTGCAGACTGGTCAGCAATGATATTTAGCAAGTGAAAGTTGACAGCAAAGTTTGCTAATATTTTCCTTGAGAATAGTCACATGTAAACACTAATCTCTATGATTTTCACGTTTAGAAAATAGTGGTGCTGCACTGCATTCTTGAAAGCATAAGCTGTATGAGGCTGTGTGGAGGTCCACTTTTTTCACCCCCATTCTTTAGGAAAACTGTATTTCTTCCATCAAAATTAAGCCTGAGGTTTTATTGAAGATGACAGGGGTGACCTGTTATACATTGCAAAGACTTGGCGTGGCATCAAATGTGTCAATTTCGGTTTTGTGTATGGATTAGGGGCAGGGTGGAAGGGAGGAGTCATCCAGGGCACCCTGGAGAGTGTCAGAGGCATTGCCCTGCAGATAGCCAGATGTGAAACCCTACTTGTGAGGTTGAGTGTTAGGGGTCAATTCGAATTGCTGCACTAAACCAGACGCCCTAGTTCAAAGCAGCGTCTCTGACTGGGCTGCTTAATGCTGTGGCTGTGCTTGTTGCACCTGTCCCTGAATTGGCAAGTCCAACTTGCAGTCATTCTTGCCTTAGTCAGATTTTGATTGGGTTATTGCTATGCATTTTATACAGGGGCGGGCTTCAAAAATTTTAGCAACGGGTTCTCTGCCCGGTTGCTGGGTGGGCATGGCCATGCTGGGCGTGGCCTAGTTGCCCTCCTGAACCACAGTGGGGGGGCATTTTTACCCTCCCCGGGCTCTGGAGCCTTTCTTCAACTCTCTGGGAGGATGAAAACAGCCCCCCTGGGCTCCGGAGGCTCTCTGGAAGCCAGAAACGGGACTGTTTCCAGCCTTCCCAAACTTCCGGGAGGCCTTTTTTCACCCTTCCTGCGCCCTGCACTTACCTGCATCCAAAATGGGCCACATGGGGACTCCTGTGAGGGGCAGGGTGGGATGGGCGGAGCCAGCCAGGAGTGGGATTTGGGGGTTCTCCAAGCTGTGCAGAATCTTAGCTAGAGGATATCCCGAACCCCTGCAAACCCCCAGCAGCCCAGCCCTGCTTTTAGATGGAGCTGCTCTTGAAGACATTGGAATGCAGTGCTGTGTGAATTGATGAGCATACCTCATTTCAACCACCCACCTATTCACACACACAAACACACACACACACAGAGGCAATACTACTATTTTATAAGTTGCACGTTCCTAGGAATCTTCCAGGTGTAATTCAGGGTGTTGATTATCATCTACAAAGCCTTACATGACCAGATTATCTGCAGCATTACCCTTCTTCCAATTATTTCTACCTGCCATGCTCTATTAGGATAGGTATGCTTTATGTCCCTTCCTTGAAACAGTACAACCTGAGGGGGTCCTAGGAGGCATGCCTTTGCTGCTGCAGCACCTGATGTCTGGAATGACCTTCGCTCAATATATGGGTTGGTTCTGTCCTTGATAGCTTTTAGAAAAGCATTAAAATGACTTCTTCTTTCAGGTATTAGAGTAAATGACTTCTTCTTTTAGGTATTAGAGCTAGGATGTGTTAGAAATGTGGTTTCCTAGTTGTCCATTATTGTTGCAGTTTAATTATATTTGATTTTTTAATTATATTGATATATGCTATCTAGGGTCATATTTATGTGAGTCGAGCAGTCTTATACTGTACATTTCTATATAAATGCCAGAACTATTGCAATAAATAAAAAATAAAACCTCATAATCAGCATCATTAAATGCTTCTGAATATTTGCCATCAAGGATTGAGGTAGCTTTCAGAATAATTCAGGAATCTTTGGGGTAAGCAGAATGATCTTTTTCCCATCATATTTAACTCGTGCATGAAGAACGTTTATATTTGTTAGAAAACTAGGCAACTGGCATGAACTAAAATTGTCCTGTGCTTAATAACTTGGCTTTCTTCTAGTCTGATTTCTTTTCTTTTTTAGTTCATATATGCCGATCAAGATCAGGAATCTATCTAGCTTTGTAATGTCTATCTAACCGGGATGGGTATTTATGTTTGTTTGGCAATCTGGAAAGGCATATATTTTACTCAAGATCTTTGACATTTGAAGTGCCCTGGACTTATAAAACCTGGATTTATCTAAGATTCCAGAAAACCCGGGAGTTTGATAACATCTTTTTTTTACCCATTTTTTCCATGTTGTCTGACTTTTATTAATATCCTTCTTATCTTCTTTACTACCCCCTCTTATTGGTATTATCATGATTATTATTACTATTGTTAATCATTATTATTATTACTCTGTTGTTTTGCATGTACCTCGAGAACTTCCCAAGTGGAAATAAATCCCTTGTGTGCCTAATCATATTTAGCCAAATAAAAGCGCTCTGTTCTGTTCTAACTAACAATCTAATTGTTAAAGCATTTCACCTAAGCCTGTGTCTTTTAACAAAATTTGTTACAGTAATTGGAAAAGACGCTACTGGACTCCTGGTTTTTGCAGCCACTGACAAACTTCTTCCCTTACAATATCCAGGATGTCAGTATCATAGATTGTGATGTATGGTGTATTATAGCAAATTTGGGTTACTTTAAGCAAGCCACTATCTCTCAAGAGTCTCCAAGCATTTCAGAGGATGTAATAAAATAATCCCAACTGGGGACCCTTGAACTTCTGGGAGGATGAACTGAGTAATTTACACTGATAATAATCTTATACACACTATTCTTAAAATAATTTTTAAAAGGCTGCTACTGTTATTAAAATTACTACTAATTAAAATTTCCTAGGTTGTTACAAAGTTATTTAACACATTAGAAATAGAAAAACAATACAAATTCATTAATAGCAATTAGCAAAATATAGCATATCAAAATTATAAAATACCTAAACGCATTAAACCAGAAGATGCCAGCAGCCTACCTGTGGCCCTATCCAACAAAATGAAATTTAATATGGAGAAAAGTTTTACACCTAGGCAGGAAAAAACCTAAGGTACAAGGCAGTGGTGGGATTCACATTTTTTTTACTACCGGTTCTATGGGCGTGGCTTGGTGGGCATGGCAAGGGAAGGATACTGTAAAATCTCCAGTCAGAGGTGGTATTTGCTGGTTCTCCGAACTACTCAAAATTTCTGCTACCAGTTCTCCAGAACTGGTCAGAACCTGCAGAATACCACCTCTGGTACAAGGTACAGATTAGGTGAGACTTAGCTCAAAAACAGTAACTTTGAGGTAATTCCCCGTTAGGAGAATGAGCGCATACAGGGAGACGTATTGAGAGAAGTGTTGAATAACACACACACAGCACACAGATACACTGTACAGAAAATGTAGGTTTTTTACTTTCAATAAAGGTTTAAGCAAAGTTCAAGATAAGCAGTCCAAAGTCATTCACAGGTTAAATCAGTCAGTTTTCAGTCCAGGGATAATCCGAATATCAAAGTCCAGTATCAAAAACAGTTCAGTAACAGACTTACATCAAATCCAGGAATAGCAGTCAATTAGAAAGAGCAAAACTCTCCAACAGAAGGAAACAGAGACTCACTGAGACACACTCTCTTCTGAGACTAAGACTAAGACAACCCAGGTTTCTGGCTCCATCTTATGGCCGTTTGAGAAACCACACCTAATTACAGTTTTGATACAGTTTTAAAATGTTTATCCTGGTTTATATATTTCCAACCCAAATAGCTGTTAGGTGACTTACATTCCTAACAGTAACTGTCAGAGGAACCTTGGAGTCTTAGCGGACAATCACTTAAACATGAGTCAGCAGTGTGCGGCAGCAACCAAAAAAGCCAATACAATCCTTGGTTGTATGAACAGAAGCATAGAATCAAATCACTTGAAGTGTTAGTACCATTTATAAAGCCTTAGTAAGACCACACCTGGAATACTGCATCCAGTTTTGGTCACATTACAAAACAGATGTTGAGACTTTGGAAAAAGTGCAAAGAAGAGCAACTAAGAAGATTGAAGGTCTGGAGACTAAAGCATATGAAAGATTTGGGATTGATTAGTCTAGAGAAAATGACTAGAAGGGACATGACAGCAGTATTCCTGTATTTGAGAGGCTGCCACAAAGAGGAGGGTGTCAATTTATTTTCCAAAATACCAGAAGGCAGGACAAGAAACAATGGATGGAAACTAATGACGGACAGAAGCAACCTGGAATTAAGGAGGAACTGCCAAACAGTGAGGACAATTAACCAGTGGAACAATTCACCTTCAGAAGTTGTGGGTGTTATATCACTGGAGGTTTTAAAGAAGGGACTGGACAGCAGTTGTCTGAAATGGTGTAGGGTCTCCTGCTTGACCAGAGGGCTGGACTAGAAGACCTCCAAAGTCCCTTCCAGCTCATTCTTATTCTAAGTTATACTGCAGGACACAGGATGGCAGGCATGCTCGATAAGCACACCAGAAATAGTAAAAAAGGCTTCTATGTTTCAGGAATCGAAGCTGCTCTCTTCAGGAAAACGCTGAGGGCTGCAGATAGGTTTAAATTAAGCTGAGGATGCCAGAGTAATTGGAATACTTTGGTTTTTTTTTAAAAAAAAAATAGTTCTCCATCCTCTCCAATGAAAGAAAGGCACAATTTGGAGTTGGCACTCAGACCAGAACCTGTCCTGGCACGTGGTGTGAAGGGTTTAAAAAAAATGCCTCTGGGCATATGCAAAGTACAGCTGCCTCTGCCTTGAGCAAATAAGAATAAGAAGGGGTGAGACGGAGGAAGGACAGAATCATTTCCCTAAATCAGAGTTTTAATTGAGCGAGGCTGGCAAATCGGCGCACCGGGGCTCAACTCCGTCGTAACCATGACAACCAAGCCTACCTATTTCTCTCTCTCCCCCCCCCCCCCCCACTCCCTTCTTTCCCCTCCCACCTTTTTAACCCTCGCCCCGCCCTCGCGCGTTCGAGACTCCGGTGGGCGGGGCCGCGTCCTCGGCGGGCTGGAGCTGAAGCTGGGCGCTCCCTGGCAGGAAGGAGCGGGGCGCGATGGAGCCGGGGTCGCTCTTGCTGGAGGCGGCGAACTGGAGCACCATCGCGGCGTGCCTGGTGCTCAAGTTGCCCCAGGGAGCCGCCTTGGTGGCCGCCAGGTCCGCCCGAGGAGTCAGCCTGGAAAGTTTATTGCTGGAGCTCGGCGGGTAAGGAAGGACTTCTCCGCCAAGTTGCCCGGCGGCGGCGGCAGCAGCAACCTCCGCGCTCTTCTTCTCCCGCCTGCCCGGTCTTTGGGCTTCTTTTCCCGGTGTCCACGGAGGAGTTGAGACCTCCGGGTCGGCTCTTCTTCCCCTGCGAGTCCCTAACCCGTTTGGAGGCTGCGGCGGCTGTTTGTTGCTGGGCGGCGACGCCAAAGAAAGGGGCTCTTCTGAACCAAAGGAGAATAGAATCACAGAGTGGGAAGGGACCTTGGAGGTCTTCTAGTCCAACCCCCCCGCTTAGACAA